AAACTATCTGTAAAACTGTTTAACTTTTTAAGGTTAATGAGAATCAAGACCTATTATGTAAAGGTACAGAATCCCAATGATGAATGTAACTGTATTTGTCTACCTAGATTGTACCAATATCCTCAATAAAAAAGAAAATAGGGAGAAACTATCTGTAAAACTGTTTTTAACTTTTTAAGGTAAAGAAAAGAAAGAAGCCAGGGATGGTGGCATGCAATCTCAACACACTGGGAGACTGAGTCAGGAAGATCACCATTCAAGCCCAGGCTGGACAACTTAGCTGCTTAGCAAGACCCTGCATTGAAATAAAATATAAGGGTAACCCATTTTCGGGTCCCCCTGTAGGATGTAGGAACCAAATTTTCTGATCAAGGTGGGCTCCCTCTTTGCCCTGTGATCAGAATGTGGAGACCAAGTTTTCTGGGCAGAGAGCTGCAAAAATTCCATTCTGTATAACAACCTCCTCCCTGTTTCTCTGTTCCTCTTGTTCTGACCCAAGAGTGAACTTGTCCCCTCCCCAACAACTGCTTGAGTTTGCAGAATAAGATAAGTTAGAGATAAGTTAAGTAAGAAAATCATATGCTACACTAAGCATAGAGAGTTTGCCTAATTGTTTAATCATATAGGATGTTCTTTGGAAAAAGAACATAATGACCCCCGCTGAACCTGCTCCTCCTCGTGGGTATTGGTTATTTCCTGCTTCTATCCTCCTATTCCTGTAAGTACCCCGGCAATATCCAATACCAATAGAAAGTTTAAAATAGCATCAATAAAAAGGAGAAAGAGTTTCAAGCCTCCCCAACCCTGTATAATCATGCTTTGAAAGTGAGTCGGGGCTCTCTTTCTGATCCACTTGGTCAGTGAGGTACGAGGGTCCAGGCTCGAGCTTGCAACACACTCCTCATGTGATTGCATCAGACTTGGCCCCTTGGTGGTCTTTAGGGATATCGCGATCTGGGCACAACACCCCTTCTGTCTCTCTTAGACAGAAGCTATCTTAACCTCCATTGTTCCTAGAATTCACTCTTCCATTTCAGAGAACACGAACTCGTGCTTCAGATATCTAGCAGGTTTGGGAGTTACGCCTATTCTCACTATATCATTCTGGAGGTCCCACTGAGATTACTGGACCGAGGGAAGAGTCCGCTTTTGTTCCATAGGTTTTAACTTTGGTCTTCTCCCTCCGCAGATTGTAACTTTTTGTTTCATAAGTTATGCTTCTTGTTTTTCTGGTTGTATTTCATAAACTCTGACCTTTGTTTTGGCTTTTGCTTCAAAATTGTCTTAATTTTAACTTGCATGCTTTAAATTTTTGCAAATTGCTTGTGTCTCTTATGATGCATTGTTCTTAGTTTAAATGTATGTTTTATTATTGTTTTCTACATGTTATGTTTGGAGTTATTTGCTTTAAAATGCTGTACAATGGGTCTCATGAAATTAACTCAGAAAAGGACAGTTCAGGCTTTTATCTGTCCCTTATAGAATGCCAAATGGGGGTTACTCTGCCAGCTAGTAATGGCCTTTAGGGCAGCTGCCACTCTCCAAGCAGAGGACGGGTTTCTCCAGTTGCCCTCTGGTGAATCCCCACTTCCATTGGAGCCAATGGTAGGTGAAATGTTTACCAGATAGGCAACTGGGTTCATTTTGGAGACAGATTTCTGATTTCACAGAATTAGTGGAAACTGAGGTGACAACTGAGAGGTCATGGCCAGGGCTACTCCCTGACGGATACCCAAAAGTTCCTCAAAAGAAACTAGCTCCTGACAGCCCATCTAAGTAATCAGCAGAAAATCTCCACATCTCATCACTATCTGGGCTTGTTGGTGAGGTGAAAGGGGAACTCTGTCAAAGATCATCAGATATCCTCTGTCTCAGGGTGACCTGAAACAATGCCATCGGAGCCCTTTCTTAAGCCTCTGTTAAGAGTTGAGCTACAAGTTTGGACTACCCTCTCTACTAGTAAGATAAGACCTCTAGACAAATGTAAAAAAACAAATACTTGATAGATTAAGCTACCCGAACTCTCTCTCCCCTCCTAGGCTGGTCTTCAGCTATTTTAAATTGTCAACTATTTATCAGGAAAAAGATGAGAACACCCCTAGATCCTGATTTGATAGAAGGAAATACTATGGGTTTTTTCCAAGTCAGTCTTTCGATATGATATGGAGATGGTATACTGCCATGTGCCCGCTCAGAAGAGCTCTCTAGCCAAGGCACCTGTGCTTTGCTGAGTTAACAGACAGGGGTTATAATGTTTCTAGATCTAAAGCACAACTTTGCAGCCTTGAGGTAAAATACTTAGACCTTATTGTATGTAAGGGAACCCAAAGACTGGATGAAGAAAGAAACCAATTATTTCCTTTCCACAGCCCAAGACTCTAAAATAGCTAAGGAGATTCCTAAAAATCACAGGGCTTTTGATGCCTTTAGATAACACGATATAGTGAGATTGTGTGACTTCTCTATCAGCTTACAGAGAAACCCAAAAAGACAGATACCCATATCTTAACCTGGGAACTAGATTCCCAGACCACAATGCAGAAGCTCAAACAAGCACCTGTAAATGCCCCAGCACTGAGCCTGCCTACAGGACATCGTTTCAGTTTGTTAATGAAAGATGAGACGTGGTCTAGGAGTGTTTACATAAGGTAGGGAAACTGCTCGACAGCCCCGTAGGGTATCTAAGTCACAAATTAGATATGACAGATTCAGAGTAATTTGTTTTAAACAATATAATTAGAACACTTTCATTCTCTCTCACTCTTTCAAAAGGCAAAAAGCAGGGGCTGGAGATTTATTTCAGTGTTTCCACCACCTGCTTTGCAAGCGAAAGGACCTGAGTTTGATCCCCAGTACAAAAAAATAAATAAAAAATGGCAAAAAATAGCCACTCAGGCTCTACGATTCTTGGTTTCACTTTCTGTTTGGCAATGCAGCTGAAGTCAATCATGGCTTTTGTCTCTGGACACATGTTTTGCGAAGGATTACAGATCTACTCTGGGAAAGCTCTTGATCTTAATTGTCTTTCTACACCTGAGAGGGTTAGGATTTAATTCTTGTTCCATAATTAAAATCACCCTTCCATCCCTTCCCCACTGCCCATTCCAGAGATTTAGCTCAGTGGTGTCATCGCCCGCCTTGCAATCACAAGATCCTGAGTTCAATCCCCAGTACTCACAAGTGTTTGGTTCTGTGGCTGCTGCATTTCAAGATAAAGCTTGTAGAATAGGTTTCAACTAACTACTAAAACAACCATGGTTGACTCAAAGCTATACATACTTCTACCCAAGATGACATTGCCTGGTGCCTACCAAGGGCCTTTAGATAGACCTCCTGTAGAGTAACTCTGACTGCCAACCACAACTATGACCCTCTTCAGCCAGAAGCAGCCAGAATGGTCTTCGCCCCCTTGCCCTCTTATAGCAGTTCGAGGTACTCCTTCAGAGATGGGAATATTGTAGCTAGGTAAGTTAATTGGATATCTTATAGGCAGTTAGCCAGGGCCAGCCCATGAGGAGCCAACATGGAGGGCAATCGAGACACATTCACTGAAGGCCAGTGTTGTAAAAGAAGAGAAACTACCAGACCCATCTGCTTCCCCTAAGGATGAATAGCAGTGACTGATATTCTAAATAGGTATCAATCTCCTGGGTGGGGGATCAAGACCTTGCCCACCCCTTCCAGGAAAGATCCCTGACTGAAAATCCCTGTACACTTGCTACTGGCTTGCTTCCTCATTGGATCCCCATTTAACCAACATTTCCTAAGCAACTATACTTGTCTTAATCTTATTGGTTGTTCATAGTTTTGTCCACCTTGGGATTTCTCATTCGATCAATATTACCAAAGTGACTGTATTTGTAATCTTACTAGTTGACTACAGTTTTGTCCCACTTTGAACTCAACTCAGCTCATGGCTTTGTCCCTTAAAACACCTTCGAGAAGCAGGGTGAGTGGGTAACCCATTTTCAGGTCCCCCTCTGTCTCTCTTAGACAGAAACTATCTTTTTCCCACTAAATTTTTCCTACTTTTTTTTTTTTTTTTGAGACAGGGTCTCACTATGTAGTTGAAACTGATCTGGAACTCACTATGTAGCCCAGGCTGGTCTCAAACTCACAGCAATCCTCCTGTCTCAGCCTCCCAAGTGCTGGGATGACAGGCATGCGCCACCACACCTGGATATTTTTCCTACTCTTAATAAAAAATAAATAAAATAAAAAATAAAAGGGCTGGGGAATTAGCTCAGTATAAAGGTCCTGGCTTCAGTGGAGAGAGAGAGAGAGAGAGAGAGAGAGAGAGAGAGAGAGAGATGTAGTCCTTGAAAGGCTGCACTGTTTTCCAAACAAGCAAACACACTGAAGGTCATTGAAACAGCTTGTTCCAAATTTAAGGTAAAAGATCCTTCCCCTCAATTATAAACTGGCAATCATAAACCAATGATTGCTTTGTCCACTGAGGTCTTCCCAGCACCTGCCTCAGAATTGGTGTAAAAACATTTGGAGGAGACAAAAGCAAATGCTTTATCTCTTTGGTCCTCAATTGAGATCATGTTTAGTTAAAAAGTTAATTTTTAAGTTAATATTTGCATAATTAATGTGATATTTCACCTTTGCTTGAAGTGATAATTAAAGAACTCACAGTTACAGTCCATCCTTTAACAGAAACAAAGGAAGCAAAAGAAAAGAGGAAAAAGAAGAAAGCAAAGAGTCAGGAGTATCGGGCATGCACAACTGTAATCTTAGCAGTTGGGAAGCTGAGGCAGGAGGATCACTATGATGTCAAGAGCAGCTTGGGCTTCATAGTGAGACCCTGACGCACACATAGCAAAGAAAGTCTGCAGGTAGAGCAGTCGGTACACAGGAGAACTCACCAGTCAGAGAGAGAAGAGGGAGACAGGGGAAGAGAGAAAGGATGGGACAGGGGAGCTGGCCAGGGTCCAGAGCGTGATTTTTAAGCCCTGTGGCACATGCTGACTTTGCCCCCACAATCCTGTACTCACTTTATGTGACGGGAAATCCGATGACACGTCTGCCACCTGGACACCACATTGATATCACAATGCACCACAGGTTTAATCTGAAAAAAAAGGCGTAAGCCTCAGCTCCATTCCCACAGACCCTAGGTTAACACCCAGCTGCATGCAGAGCCACAGCCCCAAAGCAGACGTGAAGACACGGGGTCCCCTCAACACAGATCACCCAGCGGGGACAGGAGGGAGTCACAGAGAGGAGGACTGCGCTGGGGCAAATGGGGTCTGGGGCTGAGATGGAGCTGCAGGCCATGCGCCCCAGTGGTAGAGAAGACAGTAAGGCAGTGTGCCCAGAGGTGACAAAGGTCCAGGGGGAGAGCCACGCGGCTGGCACCTGGGATGCACCCAGTGACTCATCCAACAATCACACTTCCCACACCTGGGCCCAAAGAGCAGACGGGTTGAAGCAGGAGGTTGCCATGGAAATTGACTGGAGGAGGGAAAGGGTTACACACGACGGGGAAAGGTAACCGGGTAACTTAGCTTATACATAATAAAGTCCCTGGGCATGTGCACTGGGGTCTTCTGCAACCCATAGCTGACCGGCCTCCGCTATCATGCCATTGACTATGCAAATTTGACTCCACCCCTCATGGGCTTTGCACGTCTTGACAGTTCCTCCAAGAGCTCAAAACTCCCCCGCCCCAAAGGCGGGCCAAGCCAAGCGGCTCACTTGCAGGAGATAACCGCAGCCCAAGCCCACCCGACTCCCAAGGCCTCAGACCCTCAGCACCGAGCCCCCTGGTGCCATGAGCTCCTCTCGCTGGCGTTTCCCATCCTGCAGAGCGTACTTTCACTTTCAAATAACTCCTCGGCCTTCCTCCTGCTCCTTTCGGACGTCCTGCTCCGTACTCTGTTCAGGACACCAAGGACCTGGAAGGCAGGCCCGATGTATAACTGGGCGAGACCGGAGTCAGAGCTTCTGGGCAGCCGAACCAGGCCCGCTGTGTTCCGACCCCTCTGAGCTCCTGCGTGGGAGCCGTGTGACAGGCTGGGCCCGCTCGGCTCCTCTCGGCTTCAGCCTCGGGGCCTCAGGGCCTGACCCCCAAGAGGGAAAGAGCTGCTGTACACGGCCGGGGGCTCCCCGGTTACACACCTCCGCGGGTGCTCCCGGAACCCGGCCTCCCAGCCTGCCCTGCTCCCTATGCCCTCCACTCCCGGCTCAGGCACAAGGCAGGCATGTCACCCTAATGTTGGGGTGCTCCCCGAATACCCTAAGTGAGCCAGAAGCTACCCACAGACGCTCCTTTGCCAAGGGTGCCTGGGGCCAGTGGGAGCTGAGATCTAACCGCAAACACCACGGTGGAGAGCAGCGAGGCTCTCTGCAAACTGCATAGGTGGGGTGTCTGGGCCCAGGCACGGGGCTCCCCGGGAAAGAGGAGAGACGGAGCCAGCTCAGCACGGCGCCACCTTCCCAGGACTCCTCACACAACCTGGCCGGGCGGCCCGGGGAGGGGAACCGAAGGCCCCAAATCCCAGCACTCGCTGCTACAGAGCTCTCCGGCAGCAGCCTACTAATTCAATTTAGGAGAAGGAAGCGAGAGAAGCGATCACGAGAGAACCAGCACGAGCCCATCGGGTAGTAAGAGGGACTCGATCCGACGCAGTCCTCACACCACAGGGAGGGGAGACGGAAGACAGAGCTGCTCAGTGCGGGGGCTCCACTTACCCCCATCCTGCCCTCGGCCGAGCAAAGCGGCTAACTCTACCCACGGGCGACCCCAGACTTCCCCATCTCATAAGACCCGGTCCCCCAAGATCCACGGGCTTGATGATGAATTCCAGGGCACAGGATGTGTCCGGAACCATCGGCGCCGCGCCCCTAGAGGCTCTGTGCGGAACTGCACCTCCGACCCCTGGCTTCTCCTGGGCCTGCGGCCCCAGGGTCTCCAGGCTGCCCCTCAAGTGGCCCCCTGCTGCTCCCCCACACACATAGGCACAAACAATCGGGAAAGGACAGCATGCAGAGGAGCCCTGGTGGACATCAATCCCCAGGGCCTCGTAGCACCTTTCTGGCCCTGCCATCATCGAGCTTGTTAGCAAGCGTTCCCCTCATGAATGAGGAATGAAAACAGCTCTAATACTCTGGAAAAGATTCCAGAAAAAAAAGAGAAGTTGCTGAAGATTGCAGGTACACGGACACAGACACACCCACACCCACACTGTTTTCACCCCTATTGTACACAATACAGTCAAACCTTGCTTTGCGGACATAATTCATTCCGGAAACATGCTTGTAATTCAAAGCACTTGTACACCAAAGCAAATCTCCCAGTAAGAAATAACAGAAACTCTGATGATTCATTCCACAATCTCAAAATAGTAACATAAAATGATTATAATACTGAATTATAATACAAGATAATAAAGAAAATTTGAAACACAAAGAAAAACAAATCCATCGGCTGGTGTAGGGGAGACAACAGGAAGGAGGTCTACTGTGCAGGGCGATTTTCAGTATCACTAACGATGGGCCGGGGATTTAGCTCAGGGGTTCTGCCGCCTGCCTCTCAAAGCAAGGTCCTGAGTTCGAGCCCCAGAACCAAAAAACAACAACAAAAAACTATAATCTCACCATCACTAACAGAATCACTGCTGCTACTGGCTCCATGGGGTCCTTTCCTTCCTGTGCAGCTCTCACAAGGAACCCATCCAGTGACACGTGCTTTTGCCTTCTTTGGAGGGTTTTTCAGAAATGAGACGTTGCACTCTCCTTAAATAGATTCATCACTCACACTGCTGCAGCCTTATTCAGGGGCTACTTCTCTGCTCCGAACCTTGGCACTGTTTCCCACATTTTCTCTCTGCTTCCTGGCTGCCGTGAGGTGAGCAGCTCTCCTCCCCCACACCCTTCTGCCATGTTGTTCCTGCCTTGGAGCAGCTGACCATGGACCGAATCCACTAAGACGTGAGCCAAAGAAACCTCTCCTCCTCTAAGTTGTGGACGTCAGGTACTTTGACCCAGCAGTGGAAAGGCTAATACAACGTCACAATAGGGTGCTTTAAAAAGTGGGCCTGGGTGACCAAGCCCAAATTTCACTGTGAGCCCACAGCACCCTGAGAAAGGACAAACAGGAGGCAGATGCAGGATGAGAAGGCAGAATCCGGTCCACCAACACTGGACGTGGGCTGTGGGCAGCAGGCAGGAGACCCTAGGAAATGACACGCATCTGTCACCATGGTGCTGGACTGGAACCCGCTCAGCTAGGGGCTGCATGAGGAGAGGAAGCTCATGCCACCTCCCCTCTGCCTTCCACTTCCCCAGCCCCATCCCACTAAGGCAAAGGACAGCTCGGAGGCAAATCCCTGAAAACAGCAGAGATGACTGGGGCTTTCCAAACACACCTCATGCCCCGAAGCCACCAAACAGTACTACAGGTCCTTATTCATTGGCATGAAGAGATAAATTAAGTAAAAAGGGATTCTGTAAAACAGAAACTATGCAGAATAGGCTCCCATTTTTGCTTAAATAGACATACTGGTAAAGCTAGAAGTACAAATGCCTACAGATTTTAAAGCCACACAGAAAAAGAGCAAAAAATCTCTGGAGGACCATATTACAGTGTGTTTTCTTTCAAATCAATACATGTATTCTCATTTTCCTCCAATGAGCATGAATTGGAGGGTCCTGTGTGTGACTATGCAGAATAGGCTCCCATTTTTGCTTAAATAGACATACTGGTAAAGCTAGAAGTACAAATGCCTACATTTTTTAAAGCCACACAGAAAAAGAGCAAAAAATCTCTGGAGGACCATATTACAGTGTGTTTTCTTTCAAATCAATACATGTATTCTCATTTTCCTCCACTGAGCATGAATTGGAGGGTCCTGTGTGTGTGTGTGTGTGTGTGTGTGTGTGTGTAGTGGAGACTGACCTGGAACTATGTAGCTCAGGCTGGTTTTAAACTCACAGCGATCCTCCTGCCTCAGCCTCCCGAGTACTGGGATTACAGGCATGCACCACCACACCCAACCGGAGAGTACTTTTTAAAGCAGAAACAGAAGCTTCCAGGAAATGAATCCAGGAAAATGAGGGATGAAGGCGAGACCACTAGAACACAATGGAATTGAGCATGGGTGCCCTACCCAATAGAATTCAGCCCAATCTCACTTGGACAAAGTCAAGCTTCATCCCCAGACTTCTCAACAAGGCAGAGAATCATGGGACAAACAAATGGATAAAGAAAAAGTGGTATTTACACAGAATGATCCAACACACAAGCTTCAACAGCACATGGTTTCTCTTGTATGAGAAACCCAAATATAAATAGATAAATAATAGGAAATAGGGAGATGGATCTTTCTCATATGGGAAAGGGATCAAGAGATGGAGAGAAGAGAGGGGAGGAAAAGAGTATAAAAAAAGGATTAAGATGCATTACTATAAATATGCCAACTTCCCTTGAGGAATGTGATTGCTATGTACTACAAACATGTACTCATAAACATAAAGAAAGAAAACAGTTAACTTGAAAACATTTTTCGTTAGATTCACTGTGGAAATTTCATCTCGATGAATATATCCTTCTCTTTCCCAACCACTTGAGAGCAATACAATCTCGATTGACTCAGGCTACAAAATTTTTAGTCCAGGATATGCCCACTGGAAAAGCAGGATCAAAACACAGCTGTAGCCAGGCGTGGTGGCACACACCTGTCATCCCAGCACTTGGGAGGCTGAGGCAGGAGGATCGCCGCAAGATCAAGGCCAGCCTGAACTACATAGTAAAACCCTGTCTCCAAGAAGAAGTGGGGGGAGGAGGAAGAAGAGGAGGAGGAGGAGAAAGAAAACCCACCTTCATGGTGGAGAAAAATATCGAGCTGGGACTCGAGTGTAGAAAGAAAACTGGAGAAGCCATCTGAATTCTACCCGGGTCCACACAACTGTGAAGGGCAAGCAGAGCTACGGAGGCCACGCAAAGCCATCCGGTCACTCGGACCGGCAGAGGCCCTGGCAGCCCAGGTCCTATTAAACTCAAACCTAACTTTCCCGCTTTTCCATCTAAGGAAATGTGCACCCAAGTGTTTTATAAGCCATGGCTATGGCCACGTTGAGTGTGCGTTCTGCCGCTCTAAGGAATTTGAAGTACATTTCTGCATCCACAGCTCTTGGAATGCAGCTTCACTTTTTTCCACTAACACAGTTTGACCAAAACAAAAATTCTATGAAATAAGTACATACAGAAGGCAGCATTTCCACTCGGTGTCACAGAATTAGCCCACGGGACTCATTAAAGCATTTAAACATTAGACGGGGGGCTTAGCAACATTTTATACAGACATTCCTCCAGTCGTTTAATAACCAAGCTGTTTAACAGCTGCTCACTCATGGCTGGGCACTGCCTGGATTTAGAGCCTGCTCCTCACACTTAGGCCTGGACTCCTGTGCAGCTCTGTGCATCTAGTTTAGAGAGCCTCGGTGTTGTTTTTCCGCACAGTACACCTTGTTTCTGCAGAGCTGTAACTTTATACCACACAGTACTGCAGTTTCATTTTCTGCTATACATTACAGTACTTAAGAATTACACAAGGGCTGGGGATGTAGCTCAGTGGTTCCACCGCCTGCCTTGCAAGCGCAAGGTCCTGAGTTCGATCCCTGCTACCAAGCAAAACAGCAACAACAACAAAATCAAATAGCCCAAGAGTTACACAAATCAAAGCTCCATCGCCTTGGCGTTTCCTTGGACCATTTCTTCATTCTGAAATTGTAATGTGCACACCACAGGCAGTTCCTCATTTAGTGACCGATTTGTCCAATGACCTAGTTGCAGAAAAGGAGTTCGTGGTTAAATGAGAAAAGTCTGTGTTTTACGTAGGTCGTCTTGTTTAACCTGCCCACATTCTGGGAGGTGTTATTTCAGGTTCACGCCCGTAGGTCGATCACAGTACGACACAGCACAAATCATTCAACTGTTCTCTATCGATAGACATTCCTGCCATTTGCATATTTTTGTACTCATAAAAAAGATGTTGCTACATATATCCTGTGCCACAGGATGTGACAGACCAAGGATGGTGCTAATGTTTGTATCTAGATGTCCCTCCAAAGCCTCACGTGCTCACAGGCAGGGCTTTGGGGAGCTGATTGGATCATGGGGCCATGATACACATTGGCAGATTAGTCTGCTGACCTCACAGCTAATAGCGATGTTGAGAGGTGGAGGAGGCAGTCGCTGGGGGCGTAGCCTGGAAGGATTGCTCGCCCTCCTCCTCCCTTGATCCCTCTGCTTCCTGCTGGCCATGCCAGGAGCTGTTTCTCCTCCTTTCGCCCCTCTGTCAGGCTGCCTGGCCTTGGAGCAAGCTGGCTATGGAATGAAACGTCTACAAACTGTGAGCTGAATAAAGCCCTCCTCTCCTTCCCTATAGCTGCGGGTGGAGGCTACTGAGTCTCAGCCAGGAGAAAGTGATGCAGACCACTGCTCTGGAACAAGAGGCAGGGCAGGCGTGCCCACTTCCAGCAGGGCTCCCAGAGCTCTCGGGATGGAGGCCCGCAGCACCCTCTCTCTTCCTGCTCTTGGCCCCTGGCACAGATCTTGCAGAACCACGAGCCCCACACCAACCACCGTGTGCCTGACAGAGGCTGGTGTCTGCCTGCACAGCACGCTGAGCCGTGAATGTGGCCCTCGAATCCTCACGCTGGAATTTAACCCCAAATGCGTAGGCTGAGGTATTCAGACATGGGGTGCTGGGAAGGTGGCCAGAGTCGGGTGAGCTCACACAGTGGGGACCCACGGTGGCATTCGTGGCTTTACAAGAAGAGGAAGAGAAAAGCAAGTTAGGGTGTTGGCTCTGTCCACGATGTGATCCCTTCCAGCATGTTATTTGGGGGTGAGGAGAGTTCCAGACGGGATCTCGCTATGGAGCCCCAGCTGTCCTGAAACTCACAGCAGCCCACCTGCCTCAGCCTCCCAAGTGCTGGGATGTCAAATGTGTGCCACCACGCCCGGCCTAGTCTTTGGCTGTGAAAGGGTTGACAAGTGTGACGAGCCCACGCAGAGGCGTCTGACTTCGAGCTCCGCGCCATCCGCACATCCCCACGCAGCGCTGCCTCCCGAGATCCGCACTTCCACTTTTGTTAAATCTTCCCCCTTGTCGCATCACCGTGGGTTAGCAGGGAACACTTACTTCCTTCAGCTTCCTCATCTTGGCAGGTTTTCTGGGAACTATATGAATATAGCTGCAAGGAAGAAGAAAGGAGAAAATCCAACTAGAAGGCAAATATTGAGATAGAAATCCTGGGTCTTTCTATAGCGATTCGTCCTTTTCAGAATTAAAATACACAAAACCTCGTAGGATTCAGAACTAGAACCGAAGCACTGTCCACTCCGGGAGTCACATTCATGTGCAAAGCAGTGGGACAGCTCACCAGGTCCCTGTGAAACTCTCTTAAGAATCGTAGAAATTACCTAGGTTTTGGGGGGTTTTTTTTTTTTTTTTTTTTTCCAGTACAAAAAATCAAAACCGCAGCCTTGGTGCTGCACCTCAGCCCTAAGGTCCAGCGAAATACACCAGACACAGACTCAACACCGCCTGCTCCTCTTCTATGGGGCTCCCCGAAGTGTAAGTTAAAAAGCAAAACAGAAGTCAGGTGATAGAAAACAGGGAGGCAGATCTTTCTTTCCCAGATGTGCAGGGACCCAGAGGAGGGATGGGAAGAGAGGGCAGGAAAGGGCGGACACCTGTGTGTCATGTAAGACCCCTTACGTTCACACTCTTCCCTGTCCAGGTAATTCGGCCACAGGCCCAACCCCCCAGGTGAACCCAGGGCCTCAGCCTCAGCTCCACCCTGCCCCCTTTCAGGCCAGGCTGCAACCTGCGACCTTCCTGCCTCGGCCTCACTCCTGGGGCACACTTACTCCAGCTTCTTGAAGCGCTCACGGCCCGCTGCCACGTACTTGGCCCCGGTCTGCAGCGCGTCAAGCTCCAGCACCGGGTGGCCTCGCACGGGTGTGTAGAGGCGTCTCACCCCGAAGGGCACAGCCACCTGCTCGGTCAGCTGCTCCAGCAGCGCCTCGAACGTGGCCACGCGGCGCCGAGACAGCACAAACTTGCAGCCCACGTAGAACTGGTCCCCGTTTCGGTACACCAGGAAGGTCTTGGCCGGCGTGGTGTCCACCA